CTGGCTCCTAACTGCTCATCTGCCTGCCTGCCTAATTGCCCCTAACCACTTTGCCTGCCAGCCTGCTCACCCCTAACTGCCCCCTGACAGCCTTCTTGCCCCCAACTGCCCCCCTCATCAGCCTGCTCGCCCCCAACTTGCCCCCAACTGCTCCCCCATCAGCATGCTTGCCTCCAATTGTCCTCTCCCCCCAGCCTTATTCCCCCCAACTGCCCTCCCCTCCTGGCCTGATTGCCCCTAACTGCTTCTGCCTTGACCCCACCACCATGGCTTTCTCTGGGAGGATGTCCAGAAAGTCTCCTAGGAAGGTCTCCTGGTCTAAATCACATATTACCTTTTTATTAGTATAGATAATAAAAAGGCAACATGCAAATGGTCATTACACTGTGAACAACCAGAACACGGATCAGCAGGAGGGTGGAGCAGCGAGCTATAAGCGGGCGACAGAGAACTACAGGAGGGAACAGGGCAGCAAGCTATTGGGAGGGTTGGAGGCAAGGAGGGAGCTACAGGAGGGCTGGGCAGCAGGTGGAGAGCTTCTGTAGGGTGCAACAAGCTAGTGGCAAGCTACTTGCACACGGATTTGTACGCAGGGCTGCTAGGATATAGATAATTCTAAATAAAAATTAAAATCCTGCTGAAACCGGTTTGGCTCAGTGGATAGCCTGCGGACTGAAGGGTCCCAGGTTTGATTCCGGTCAAGGGCATGTGCGTTGGTTGCAGGCACATCCCTGGTGGGGGGTGTGCAAGAGGCAGCTGGTCTCTCTCTCATTGACATTTCTGGCTCTCTGTCTCTTTCCCTTCCTCTCTGTAAAAAATGAATAAAATATATTTAAAAAAATTAAAATCCTATATAATAAGGGGGAAATATTATAATTTACCATCACTCCGAGACACCCACAGCCAATCAAAAGGGAATATTTAATTAGTGGATAAAGATAGCAGCAGCCAAGGAGCCAGCTGGAGCAGGCAGGAGGCTTGGGTCGCTCCCTGTGACGGAGGAAGCCAAGCTTCCTGCCCACCTGGACTGGCCGCCAAGGGAGTGGCCTGCAAACAGCCATCAGCTCCTCACCCAGATTGGCTAGGCCCTTTAGCTGAGACTCTCACCCTGAAGGGGGTGTGGCCAGCCTGAAAATGGCCCTCAGCCCCTTACCCAGGCTGGCCACATCCTCCCCAACAGGGACCCTCACCTCATGAGGGTGTGGCTAGCCTGCAAACAGCCCCTCACCCAGGTCAGCACCATCCCCAGTGGGGACCCCCACCCCAATGGGGGCATGGCTGGCCTGCAAACCACCACAGGCCCCTCGTCCAGGCCATCCTGTCCCTTAAGGGAACCCCCACCCTGATCCAGGACACCCCTCAGGGTAAACCAGCTGGCCCTAACCCGTGCACCAGGTCTCTATTTATACTAATAAAAGGGTAATATGCTAATTAGACTGTGAGACCTTCCAGGAGACCTTCCAGACATTCTTCTGGACAAAGCCATGGTGGTGGGGCTGAAGTAGAGGCAATTAGGGGCCAAGAGGGGAGGGCAGTTGTGGGTGATCAGGCTGGCAGGAGGACATTTGGAGGTGAGCAGGCTGGCAGGCAGAGTAGTTAGGAACAATCAAGCAGGCAGGTACAGAAGCAGTTAGGAGTCAGAAGTCCCAGATTGCGAGAGGGATGTCCAACTGCCGGTTTAGGCCCAATCTACTGGCAGTCGGACATCCCCCAAGGGGTCCCAGAGTGGAGAGAGTGCAGGCTGGACTGAGGATCACCCCCTCTCCCCACCTCCCACCCACGTACTGAAAGCCTGCAACCAGGGCATGTGCCCTATTGGGAATTGAACCATGACCTTCTGGTTCATAGGTTGATACTCAACCACTGAATCATGCTGGCTGGGTTAGCATAAGTGTTTTAAAATCACTTAAGATTATTTTATTTTACTGCTTTATTCAATACATGGCTCATAGTTAACAACTTAGCTTAATATAATCATATTTTCTTTAGCTGAAATTTAAGAATATTTCATTTTCAGTATCTAAACATGGAGCTACAGCCTTTAGATTCTTAGATGTAGTACAATTTTCTTTGCTCTCCCCTGTACCAAATACCTCAAGGTGGGATTTTCTTGGTGGGTTCATGGAATAGCAGGCAGCCATTGTGCTGGAGCTCACTGAATGATGGTAAGAGATGTAGTCAGGTATGTGAGGCTAAAGGCTGAGCACAGATAACATGGCCATTGTAAGGATATTGTTTTTTACATATTCATTCATTCATTCATTTTTATATAATTTATTTATTTATTTATTTATTTATTTATTTATTTATTTATTTTAACAGAAGAGAGAGGATTAGAGAGTTAGAAACATCAATCAGCTGCTTCCTGCACACTCCCTACTGGGGATGTGCCTGCAACCAAGGTACATGCCCATGACTGGAATCAAACCTGGAACCCTTCACTCACAGGCCGACACTCTATCCACTGAGCCAAACCGGTTAGGGCTGATCCACATTTTAAAGAATCACTCTGATCACTTCTTGGCCTTTTGGTTAAGATCAAGTGTAGTATCTGTTCTTATCAGTTTAATATCTGATACATCCTCTATCCAAGAACAATATATTAAATGGATTTTGGAGCAGGAAGATGGAATAGGAGCTTACTCTGTCCACTCCATGCATCAACCCAATATTGCAGTACCTTTGGGAATGGTGCACACACACATAAAAGAATCACTCTGGCTGCTTGATGGAAAACAAATTATAGGGGCCAAAGTGGAAGTAAGAAAAGTTGTTAGAAGTCATTTGCAGGAGCTCAGGGTAAAAAGTGACAAAGGATGGAAGCAGTAAAGGTGGTGAAAACTTGTCAGATTCCAAATACATTTTGCTGATGGAATTGGATGTGAATTATAAAAGAAAGAGAGGCATGCAGGATGACTCCAAAGTTTTTGGTCTGAGCAACTGGGTGAATGCAATGTCATTTACAGATTCAGGGAACTCTAGGAGAGGTTTTCTGGGAATGACCCAGAATTCACTTTAGTCATGTTAAGTTTGAGATGACTGTTACCCAAGTAGAAATGTTGGGTAGGCCGGTAAAAATACATGTTGAAGTTTAGGAAAAAAGTTTATGCTTTCAGGACTGGAAGCATAAACATAGAAATATTCAGTATATAGATTGTATGCATATTTATTATATTATGGAAAATGTTTAAGCTTACACAAAAGTAGAGATAATAATGTAATGAATATTCATGTACACATTATTTAGCTTAATCAATTACTAATATTTTGTTAGTCTTGTCCCACATTCTCCCACTATGCCCTGGTTGGAGTAGTTTAAAACAGATTTTATATATTTAGTGTTTTCCCTGTAAATACTTCCATTTGTAATACATTATTTTTAAAGTTATTGGACCAGATGATCTCATCCAGGGAGCGTGTATAAATAGAGAAGAAGTGGGAGGACTGATTCATGACACTCCACCTTTAAATGTTAGTAACAGGAGCAGTAGCGAGACAGGAGAAAAGGTGTGATAAGCGTGGGGTTTTGGGAGCCAAGTGAAAAATAGAGGAATGATCAATTGTGCCAAATGCTGTTGAGAAACAAAGATGAGGACTGAAAAATAACCACTAGTGATCTTTTATGTTTTAATTGAATTTATTGGGTGACACGGTTAATAAAATTATAGGTTTCAGTGCTAGCTGGATTGGTTCAGTGGATAGAGCGTGGGCCTGCAGACTAAAGGATTCTGGGTTTGATTCTGATCAAGGGCACATGACCGAGTTGTGGGCTTGATCCCCAATAGAGAATGTGCAGGAGGCAGCAGATCAATGATTATCTCTCATCATTGATGTTTTTATCTCTCTCTTCCTTCCTATCTGAAATAAATAAAAAATATATTTTTAAAAATGATAGGTTTCAGGGGGTACAATTCTGTAATACCTCATCTGTATATTATATTGTGTGTTTACCATCCCAAGTCAAGTCTCCTTCCATCACTATTTATCTCCCTTTACCCTCATCACTAGTGATCTTGATGAGAGCTATATGAGTGGAGTTATATGCATAAAAGTTTGATTAAAATGAGCTCAAGCTGAAACCGGTTTGGCTCGGTGGATAGAGCGTCGGCCTGCGGACTGAAAGGTCCCAGATTAGATTCCCGTCAAGGGCATGTACCTTGGTTGTGGGCACATCCCCAGTAAGGGGTGTGCAGGAGGCAGCTGGTTGATGTTTCTCTCTCATCCATGTTTTTAGCTCTCTAACCCTCTCCCTTACTCTCTGTAAAAAATCAATAAAATATATTTTAAAAGTAAATGAAAAAATAAAATGAGCTCAAGAGAAAATGAGAGAGGCAATAGGGACTCCACGGACATACAACTTTATAAGAAATCTTTTTTTCTTTTTCTTTTTTCTGTAAAGAGGTCCTGGGAAATAGGGTAATAACCAGAGGAAGATGTAAAGTTCAAGAGAGGTACAATTTTAAGATAAATTATAGCATGTTTGTGAACGCATGGAAACAATCAAGTAAAGATGGAAATTCTGATTATGTAGAAGCAAGAGGGAATAATTTAATGAGCTAAGTCCTGGAGTAGGTAAAAGAAAGTGGGATCTAGGTTTTGTATCATTCGTTTCAGTAGCTATGGGAAATTCTGTGGGTCAGGTCCTAGGGCAGACGCATAACCACACCCCTTCCTTACCTGCACTAGTTCCAAGGAATAAATATCTTTGCCCAGAGGAAGGTGGGACTTATTGAAATAAATGGGATCCTCTATCAGTAAGCGGAGTCATTTGGATATGTCTTACCATTGTGCAGTCTACATCTATCCAGTGACTCTCACTAAAAGTAGTTCCTGTGCCTAGCCCCAGCTATACAGAGATGGATCCAGGTAGAATACAATCCAACCATATATATATTTTTTAGAAATGTCAAGCTTTGCCTCAAGTTTTATTTATTGATTTATAAGAGAAGTAAGCCTTTATTTCCTTCAAATAGTTGGCTGAGCTGGTTGCTTTTTGGTAATTAATCAAAGAGACCAAATCCCATATCCTCATCCAACTCCTCCGACTCTTCCTTTGCTTCGACCTTGGCTGGGGCTGCGGCAGCAGCAGGACCAAGGGGCAGCAGCCACAAAAGCAGATGGATCAGCCAAGAAGGCCTTGACCTTTTCAGCAAGTGGGAAGGTGTAATCATTCTCCACAGACAAAGCCAGAACTCGCTTGTACCCATTGATGATAGATGGGGTACTGACGCAACAGTCGGATAACCAATCCGAAGGCATACGCTGGCAACATTGCGGACACCCTCCAGGAAGCCGGAATGCAGAGTTTCCTCTGCGATGTCAAGCACTTCCGGGTTGTAGATGCTGCCCTTGTCAAACACCTGCTGGATGATCAGCCCAGAGGAGAAGGGGGAGATGTTCAGCATGTTCAGCAGTGTGGCTTCGCTGGCTCCCACTTTGTCTCCAGTCTTAATCAGCTGCACATCACTCAGGATTTCAATGGTGCCCCTGGAGATTTTAGTGGTGATGCCCAAAGCCTGGAAGAAGGAGGTCTTCTCTGGCCCAGACCAGTGTTCTGGGCTGGCACAGTGACTTCACACGGGGCAGTGGCACCAGCACGGGCAGCAGCTGGCACCTTGTTGGCCAGCAGCATGTCCCTGATCAGTGAGGTCCTCCTTGGTGAACACAAAGCCCACGTTCCCCGGATGTGAGGCAGCAGTTTCTCCAGGGCGGGGTTGTTCCTCAGGTGTCCTCGGATGGCCTTGCGCATCATGGTGTTCTTGCCCATCAGCACCACCGCCTTCCCGCAGAGGGACATGCGGATCTGCTGCATCTGCTTGGAGCCCACGTCGTCTGCTCCCACAATGAAGCATTTTGGATAATCATCCAGGAGTAGGATGATCTTAAGGAAGTAGTTGGACTTCCAGGTCGCCCTGTCTTCCCTGGGCATCACGGCGGTGCGTCAGGGATTGCCACGCGGGGTTTAAAGACGATGTCACTTCCACGAGGACGCCTGGCAAGAGGAACTTTGCCTGAAGTTTTAATATCAAGTTTCAGCATAGCTCTGAAAACAAAAACTTCAGTTATGTGGAATAATAAATTCCTTTATTACTTATGCTTATTTGAGTTGAATTTTCTATTACTTGCAACCAAAAGTATCCTAATTGAAGCACAAAGGAAGACAAAGTTTTCTACTAGACCATGCATTTATTAAACACTAGAGGGTCCCTAGGGCTGCCAGCCAGGGCCTTCCTTTGTTCCATGCCACCCCCTGGTGGTCAGCGCATGTCATAGCGAGTTATCGACCTCCTGAGGGGATAGTTTACATATTAGGCTTTTATATATAGACTAGCAACCTGTTGCAGGAATATTCCTGCAAGACTTCTGGTGGGCTTCCCTCCTGCCACCGCCACCTCTCCCACCCCCGCACCTCTCCTGCTGCGATGGGCAGGGCTGCCACCACCACTGCATGCCTCGCCCTGCCCACCTGACCTGCCGCACCTGCTGCCCCCCACTGATTCCCGCCGCTGCCACTGCTGCGTGCCTCGCCCTGCCCCACCCTGCATTCTCTGCCAGTGCTTTTTCTCCAGCAGCTGCAGCCACCTTGCTTTCCACTTTCCCTCTCTCTTCCTTCTATGCTGTCTTCAGTCTTCATTAACTCCCTCCCTTTGCGTATGCAAATTAACAGCCATCTTTGTTGGGTTAATTTGCATTCTCACTTTGATTGGTTTGTGGGCGTGGCTTTGTGGGCGTAGCTGAGTGATGGTTAATCTGCATATTACTCTGTTATTAAGTAGGATTACTCTGTTATTAGGTAGAATGTTTATCATCTATAAATTCTATGTCAAGCTTGTGCTGTGCACTAGGAATACAGTGGTAAACAAATTAGACTGTGTTCTCCCCAGGCACCTTCTCCTTGAAGCTGCTCTTGAATCCTTTATTCTCTTCTGTAGGCTTAGGTGAGTCAACCCTTTCCTCTCTCTTCTCTGAGCTGTCACTTTCTGCCTTCACCATGTAGGACCTTCTTTAAACAATTTCATGTCAAAGCACGTTTATCTTCCTGGCTCTCCTTGTCTTTGTCATCGTGTCAGCTGGGAATCAATCAGGGGAAAAAGAAGCCACTATAGATATTTCTTTCAAGCAGGAAGGAATTTATTTCAGTTTTACCAACCCATTAGAAGAGCTGGAGGATTGAAGGTCAGAGAAAGTAATCCTTTGCTCTCAGACTTGTCACTAGTTGTCAAAAAGTTAGATAATTTGTAGGGAAATGCCTGATGGCCATTGCAAAAACTTTTGTCTTTCTGCTGCTGCACAAGGAACAAGACTACATGGCTTCTGCCCTAGCTGTTTGTTTTTTTTTTTAATACATTTTTTAAATTAATTTCAGAGAGAAAGGGAGAGGGAGAAGGAGAGAAAAATAGAAACATCAGTGATAAAGGAGAATCATTGATTTGCTGCTTCTTGCATGTACCCCACTGGGGATTGAGCCCGCAACCCAGGCATGTGCCCTGACCAGGAATCGAACCCATAACCTCCTGGTTCACAGGTCGATGCTCAACCACTGAGCCATGCTGGTAGGGCTGCCCTAGCCGGTTTTGCTCAGGGAATAGAGTGTCAGCCTGTGGACCAAAGGATCCTGGGTTCGATGCTGGTCAAGGGCATGTCTTTGGTCGCAGGCTCCTCCCTGCCTGGGCCCTGATCAAAGAATGTGCAGGAGGCAATCAATTGATGTGTTTCTCTAACATCGATATTTCTCTATGTCTTTCCCTCCCTCTTCCACTCTCTATCGATATTTCTCTATGTCTTTCCCTCCCTCTTCCACAAAAATATTCTCGGGTGAAGATTAAAAAAATAAAAATTTTAAAAAGGCAAAAGAATGAATGGCTTCTGGTTCTCCTTTGCTTTCATTTGAATAGCTTTCATTGGTTGACCCTATCCTGAACTCCATTTGTAAAGTGTTTTGGAAAATGTCAATCCCAAATTTCCAGTCCCTGTGATATTGAAGAGCACAGAAGGGGGTAAATGAAGTGAATTTTCAACAGACAATTTGTCACAGTCATCCACCAAAGGGAAAAAAAAAAAAACCCAACCACTTTTTATAAGGTTTTGTCTGCTAATCACAGACAAATCCCCACTATCTTCAGAGAGAATGCTCTCTGAAGATAGTGGGGATTTGTCTGGAGCTGTCTCTTAGAGGTATCCTGGAGAGAATATTTAGCTTGATAAAATGCAGATCAGACTTGCAAAGAAGGAAGGTGGAACAGCCGCTTCACTCTGTCAAAGTACACTCCACCCTCATGAAGAGGTCGGTATAGAAGTCACCAGATTGCCTGCCTACTTCCCACGAATCCTATCGAGAACCCTGCCTGGTGATGTGATTTATGCATCTCCTCCTCACACAGAGCCCCAGTTTAAGGGATAGGCTTATTGGAAAAACATTGGCTAACTTTCTATACAGGAATATGTGTAGGCAGCCAGGCAAAGGAGAAACAAATCAAAACAAAAAACTTGTTTGGCTCAGTGGATAGAGCGTAGGCCTGCGGTCTGAAAGGTTCCAGGTTAGATTCCAGTCAAGGGCAGGTACCTTGGTTATGGGCATATCCACAGTAGGGGGTGTGCAGGAGGCAGCTGATCAATGTTTCTTTCTCATCGATGTTTCTAACTCTATCCCTCTCTGTTAAAAATCAATAAAATACATTTAAAAAAAAGAAAAGAAATGTCAATGATGAGAGAGAATCATCAATCACATACTCCCTGGGGACCAAGCCCACAACTGTTTATGTGCCCCTGACTGGGACCGAACCCAGGACCCTTCAGTCCACAGACCAACGCTCTATCCATTGAGCCAAACCACTTAGGGATATGTGTGCTTTCCTTTCCTGCGCCTTTCCCTTCCACTCTTGCCCTACAGGCATGCTTCCTAAATTGTAAGGGACCCTAAGACTTGCAACCAGGGGAGTATTGGGCAGCTGTCCCATGCTAACTCCCTAAACCTAACCTGTCCCCAAGGCCCTCTTTTCTCTGACTCTCCAGGGACCTGACAGCAGCTCCTCCTTGGTCACTTTTTTCACTGCAACATTTCTAGAGAGCCAAAGCTATCTGCCTAGATAGGTCTCTCCTGTGCTTTTTCTGTCCTAGGCCTTTCTTGTTTAATTTCCCCTAAGAGTACTCTCAAAATAAAAAAAGAAATGATGATAAACATCAGGAAAACTAAACAGCACAAATTGTTAACAGACCGTCCTCTAGGAAATGAGACTGGGTAAGAAATAGGGAGGAAGAGAGACTTTACCTTCTCTTTTATGCCCTTCTTAAAATTTAAACATTTATGTGTTTAGGTTAGTTGAGAGCCTGTCTGTGCTTCAGCTAATGTATAAGTCAAATGTATATATGTTTGCTTGTTCCCACCTCCGCCGCTGAGCTTACCAGCCTTAAATGTGCATCATAGTGACCAGTTGTTCTGCCGTTTGGTTGATTAGCCTTTTATTATATAGGATATAAGGTAAAAATGTTCAAAAGCTTTAAAAATTGTCACAGTGTCATTACAAAAAATGATATTCTTTTCCACTGGGCAAGGAGATGAAACTTTTTCTCAAAAGTTTAATGTAGATGGCATATCTAATATAACTTTTTCACTTTCAATATCATTTTTATAGCTCCCAATAGTTAACAAACCAAGAAACCTTGGTACTACTTTTATTCACTGTTGCCACCAGGTAATGGTATTGATATAGGCACCTCTCACCAACACCAGAGAAGTGTTACTGGACAGGACAGCCCCAAGTCAGTGGAGAGGTCTGTTCTCAATAAATGAATTTATACGAGAGACCTTGACTGTGAAAAGCCAATTTACTAAAGTAATTAAAGCATGCACCTTTACTGAAAAAGCAAAGCAAGCAACCCTATATACATCTGGCTTATAGTTGAAGCACAGGCAGGTTCTCAGCTAATCCAAAGAGCAGGCTGGGTGGGGTTGATATACTCTCCTGTCTATAGGTCTCAAAATTTGTCTGCTGACTATTTTGGTGCAGATTAATCCTCAAGGTCCCCTTTTACTTTGTTGAGGCCATCCCAGAATTCATGAGAAGCACCTGGCAACTTTATCTTGCCAAGCATTGAGACTACTGGTTTTTCTGCTTAGGGAGTAAATTTGCTTTTTCCCCCCTTTCCCTTTCGCCCCTCCCTTTCTGCATTCTCTCATTAGGGAGGTGTTTTTATTCTTAACCATTTGCTCTCTCCTCCTTGCCTGGGGAAGATAGTGAATGGCTCGTTAGCTACAAATTTCCCACACTGTTGGCCTTGATCTAATTTTCCTGTCTCAGTTTCCCTATTCCTCCTGCTCTGGAATCCTGTAACAGTACTGTGGTCTTTATTCATGGCCCAGATGATGGAAATAAATTGTTTCTCAGTCTAAGCGTATTTACTATACGTGGTCATTTGGTGAAATCTCTGTTCGTTTTATTAGAAAGCCAGTAGGTATCTAGATCTTGATGATTACTAAACATGTTTTTAATAGCAATCACCTTTATTTAAAAACGTAATATATAGAAAGCATTACTTGTATATGAGCATAACCAATGGATACAGACAGTAGGGGGGTGAGGACATGTGCTGGGGGGTGGGAGCGGCCAGGGAGAGGTCAATGGGAGAAAAAGGATACTGGTAATACTTTAAACAATAAGAATTTTAAAAAATTTTTAAGGCGTTACTTGTGTGCAAAAAAGAAAATTGAAACTATGAATATTCAGATACTTCTCTATGTTACCACAGTTCCTTGTCTTTTTAGGGCATGGATATGTATCTTATTAACTTTCAGTACTCCTTGAAGTGACATGGAAATTCAGGCTTTGCAAGTTCTCACTTCCTATTTTATTAGTAAGCTTATTAAAATAATAACCTGGAATTGACTTAAATTTAGAGAACTTGACTTGCCTCTCATTAAACAGTTCCTCT